TGCACACGTGTCAGCTGACATTTGAGCAAAGGAAGAAGACTAGAGGGAGCCAGTAACGTCATTGGAGGTTCCACCGATAAACAACTTGTCGCTTCGCATTCGTGCACATATTTTCAAGGGAAATTATTTTAATACGATCCAACTCAACTACACGTACGTTATACAAGTTTCTCGCGAGTTTGGTGCTAAGTAAGAAAAAGTGGCCGATACTGTTCTATTGTCCTCGAGTATCGAGGTCTCGAGGTCTGGAGGTCTCCAAAAAGCTTGGGTCTTCTTTGTCTGACGTTTGGGATGTTTTCTTTTTGTTTCAGGTAAGTGACCAGCATTCTCTCTCTCTCTCTCTCTCTCTCTCTCTCTCTCTCTCTCTCTCTACTGTTGCTGCGTGCGTGCCTGCCTGCCTGCCTGCCTGCCTGCCTGCCTGCGTACTGTCTGGCAGTGTCTAGCACGAGGTAGGTAGGGGTAGGACGTAGACGCTGAAGAAGAGGGCGGCAAATCGCTAAAAATAGACTCGGTACATCATATCGAGCGGTCAGCTATAAATAGCACAATGACGACGGCACCCCGGATAGAAGAGAAGCACTTGAAAACGGCAGGAAATCCTTTCTGATTTTATGGAAGAGAAATCACCTGAAAACTTTCATTAGCAATAATTCCACTTGTCTTCTCTCATTACGTCGTGTCCTGTTACTTACGTTCTTGGCTTCCAGTCGGAATATACAAAGTTTTCACCTTGGAACGAAGGTTCCCTCTGTTTATTGCCCACTTTTTATTCCTTGCAGTATCGATTTTATAGAATGATTTTATTTTATGAGCGAAGGACTTTTTCGCCGAGTATCTTCTATAGCGAGACAGCTTATATCGTGCTATTGATATTGTTATGAACCGACATGGTCGATTCATTGATAAGCTCGTTTCTTTCCTGAAGTTCAGGCACGTTGAAGCGCACGCTCAAAATGGCTGGAATTTCGTATTCAGGGCTCATAAATTCTACGAATAACGGCGCAGAGTCGTTCATGTCTTGAATGGTGATGTCGACTGTTCTTAAAATTTATCCAATCATTGATATAACTTACAATCGGAATTGTATGCCGACGTACACATATCAATCATCTACAATAGTTGTTTTACGTCATGCACTTTCATTCGACGTGTGCCCAGTGGGTAAAAAACAACAACATAGAATTGATCGAGCTGGAACCCTTAAATTTCCATTCGTTCGAAAATTGGCTTCGCGATAGTGAATTTCAATTTTTTTAAAATTAACTCGTCATCGCCGTTTCCAACCATTTTTTTTCGGAGGGCATGACGTAACGCTATTCAATCTGATGGATCAATAAATGTTCGGACTTGTGGGTGCGAGCACGCATTGTACTAGGGTTCAAGATGAAACGGGTGACCTTGTAACTATTTCTGGCACTGAATTCCTAATTCGTAAAACCTGTTCAGAAGGCATGTTTTTTAAAGAAGCATGATGTTACGAATGGCTATTTAACCAATGGTAAAAAGAGAAGAAGGGCCACTAATGCTACGGCTGTGACACAGGAAATAATGTGTCATAAATAGTCACATGGACTATTTCACTCAAATATTGATTAAGTACTAATTTCGTTTGTTCGTTTATAAAAATAGGTCGACATGTATTAAGTACTATATATATACACGCAATAATTTTCTAACGCACTCCTATATTCTTTTTTGAACAAAAAACGCACAGCTCCGTGAATTAGGTTGATGCTCGAAACGGTTGGCGTTCCACTTCGATGGATGATTTACTCAGGAGGGATCTAATGATTTAGTTGGTACAAAGGTTTCTTTCTGCTGATAGTACGAATTAAAAATGTGAACAAAACCAACCTGTAACTTTAGGTTAGCTACGGGAGTATCTGTACTGCAGCGCCACGGTGGTAATTCGTCGTACCAATTGCTAGAGGGACGAGCGAGGCACAGTAGGTACTGTTCCTGTTGTTTTTTTTTTTTTTTTTTTCGACAAATGATTTTGTATCTGTACTGCAGCGCCACGGTGGTAATTCGTCGTACCAATTGCTAGAGGGACGAGCGAGGCACAGTAGGTACTGTTCCTGTTGTTTTTTTTTTTTTTTTTGTCGACAAATGATTTTAAACAGGTCCACAAGGAGACTCGCTAGCATTTCTGCATTGATATTCTAAAACAGTAGTAGCTTAAAGCGATGAAAGTTGTTTGTTCGTTGTGAGCTGAGTCAGATATCAGAAAAATGAGTATCGCCAGCGCAGTCGGCTAAAGCTGGGATAGAACTTCCGGCAGCACTGTCGGTAGAGCTTTTGCTCTCTGTCAGCGAGCACTGATAAGCCGTTATCATGCCAGTGTCATTAACGCGAAATTCTACGGCGGTGTCGATTACAGCGAATTAAATGCATAAAACAAAGGGTTGATAATGGAACTTCCGGAAATGACGATCGCAGCCCACAAACTTCCCATTTCACTTTTTATTTTGAATGAAATAAGAACGGGGGTATCGAACAAGAACGAGGGTTTAACGTCCTGCGTTAGCGTAATCAGTATTATCCCTGTACTAATTTTATGACGATATCGATTTTTTGAACTCCTAATTGGCCCAAAAAGGTCCACCGAATTGCGAATGCGAAATGTTAGTATAACCAATGACAAATTCGATCCCTAAAAACTGGAGCAAAACGCTTTAAAGGTAAACTATATTGGTGCCATCAGTTTTCACGTACTCGTCACAACTACACGATATCGTAGTGGCAATAATTTTGGTGACGTATGTAATGATGACCTCAGTAATGCTACTAGCCTCCCATCGTGTTAATGTTAAACCATACAAATTCCATAACTACGAGGTCCCTCGTCCCGCCCCTCACCTTCGATTCGTAATCTCCGATCAGAGCTAGAAGCTCAAATTTTTTGTCTGGATCGATCATCGGAGCTCGTAGTTATGGAATTTCCATGCTTGAATTTTGAAATTACGAGGTAGCTAGCTTGGCGGAGATTCGATGATGACGGGACACGTAATTTCATCATCAAATTTATTTCCCTTCTGTCTGTAGAAAAGATCGATTCTTTCAGGACGCGTGCTGCTTGCCGCGGACCTTGAGTTATTCTTGCTGGATTTTATCGGCCACGAATGGACGTCGGGT